AGTGCGCAATAATAAAATTGAACTGTGCGTATGGGCCAAACACGACGAGTCAACAATATTACCCCTACCAGTTGGGATTTAGAATAGGGTGCATCAAGGCTAGTTAAACCCTACTGGCGGAGGGTGTCGAAATCTCCCAGCACATAAATTCAATTAAATTATATAAGTTGGTTCCCTTGTCAAAAATTAGCAAAAAAGCACATATATTGAATTCTTGCAATTCATAAAGAGTAAAATCAACTATTTTGATACATAAGCAATGAATTTAAAGATCAAACACATGCTTATCAAGACACCTGTCCCTAATTTTTAACCATTCAAAAATGCAGAGCAAACCATTTTCAATCACATGATTTTCATTTGATGTCATTGAACAAAACGAAAATTTCAAAACTAATAAACATAATTATCACATAAAAGGCATTTAGAAAAATACATATTGAGAATAGATATTATAATGCAAATGGCAAGCAATAAAATCAAGTTTTTACCCAGCACATGACTCATAGTGCCAATGGGGTACTTGGGTCAAAGAACCTATACCATCAATTAACCGAATTTAGAGACCTACACAACTCTTAAGGAACCTCCAAATTAAGTTTGCTAACAATATCTAATACTCCCACATAGGTCCCCTTTGTAAGAGTTCATGGGAAGACAAAAAGTATAAATATATATACACATATATACACTCATGTTCATAGTGGTCCGTCAACAGCGAGGTTAAGGTAGGGGCACAAACTCATCACGCACACAGAACCCTATTTGACCAGCATCTTTTTCTCTCGCCACTCAAATCAGCACAAACATACACACATGGTTACATATATTCAAATCTATACACATAAGAAGAGAGGAGAGAGAGAGAGAGAGAGAGAGAGAGAGAGAGAGGAAAGCCCAGACACAAGAAAAAGATTTCCAGCCAATGTCCCAAGGTGGAACTGCAAATCTACTAGCAATAGAGAGTGTCGCACAATGAGGCAGCTGAGCGGTGACGATGCACAACTAAGCAATTGGGTTGTCTAGCAACTAGGTGATCTGCAGCTGGACAAAGCGAGTGTGGCGGAGGGTAAGCGCATGGTTGGGGAGGCTACCAACGGTCATTCGGCTTAGGCAGAGGTGGCATAGTCAGCAACATGGTCGAGGAGAGCTAGTGGCACCGTTGGTTATGATAAAGCTATGGATGAGGTTAGGGCTGCAGATCTTGGTGGAGGTGAGGAGGAATAGGGGGAGAGAGAGAAAGAGAGTACTCACCAAATGTGATGCGCACAAGCTACAGTTGTCGACACACGACATGTGACGGGGAGGCAGTGGCGAAAGCAATGTGCGGAATAGGGGCGACATGAGTGTTGTAGGGTGAGGGAGTAAAAAAAGAGGAGAAAAAGGGGAAGAGAGAGAAAGAGAGAGAGGAAAAGTGAAAGGGGTGTGCAACTGATTCGGGGTATCTCAACCCCTTTTTTTATATAAGAACGAGTCTTACATTTTTGGTTTTTGTGAAATATCTCTATTTTAAGTTACGAGTCATTATTCTTTTCTTAAACAATGTATCTGTATAGATATACAATACTTCTACTTATAATACCATCTCTTTTCCTCACTTTATGAAATCCATAATATTAAGATTTTAAGGCCGTGTTTGGAAAGACGTCAGCTCATAACTTCTCAGATTTTTAATAATTAAAAATCACTTATGAGTGTTTGGAACCTACTTTTTAATTTCAAATTCTCTAAATTAAGCAAATAGAAGTATAGAAATTTTGAAACAGAGAGAGGAGGTGCTTTTAGTTTCAATAATATTTCTATAATTAAAATAAAGTTATTACCATACAACTTTAGACATTTTTATCATTACATATTTTTTTTTATTCCTAAACTATCCTTATCTTCTTCTTTTCTCTCCCTTTCCGCTAGAAAACTACTGGGCAGCAATTATTGTTGATCAACCACTAGACCGCTACTGTTGGCGTCACTAGCACCGCCTGGCGACGCCAACGAGTTCGATAGAGCCATGTTTGATTGGCGATTATGATTTGTTGGATCAATAATAGTGATCTAAGCTTTGGTTGAGGGGAAGCACAACTCTCAAAAAATGATTGCTATGATTGGTGCGACAGGGTTTGCAATCTCAAAACCAACGGCATCATTGGCCTTACTGTCTTCCTCGACACTAATGTTACTGGCTAGATTTTGACTGCCGATGGCAATCTCCCCTACCTCTCTACCCTTATGTTCCATAAGCTCCCCAACATAACCGATTCAATTCCCCTATCCATTATCAAGCTCAAACACCTCCAACTGCTCAACCTTAGTTGGAATGTTTATTGGGATTAAGTGGAGATTGATTTGCTAGAGGAGGGAGAGAGAAGATTTGGATTGGTGAGGGGAAGAATAGTAGAGGAATTGGGTTGGGGAGAAGATTTGGGTTGGTGAAGAGAAGGAAAGTAAGATAGAGGGGGGGGGGAGAAATAAGAAAAAAAGAAAAATAATAATTGCTATTAAAAAAGTTACAATAAAAAAATTATATATAAGGGTAAAATAGTCTTTTTTTTCTACAAGTTTCTCCACAATCATTTCACAAAATTATCTCCCAAACACCATTTTATTGATTTTAAGAGTTTTTTTTTATATATTTTGCAAACACACCCTATTTTTAATTATAATTTGATTTACTTACTTTTACTTTAAACAACCATTTTTAATTTTTCACAAACATTTGCAAACACCAAGATTTGAGAAGGGTGGGATTATTTTTGATTTTCTCAATACCTGTTAGGTTGATTTCTAGGCAAAGTATTTGAATTGAGATTTTATATATGTTTTGGGTAAGGTGGTAAGAAAATTTTCCAAATAACAAATAATTGTAAGGATTGCTACATTCACCATTTAATTAATCTCCTGCAAAGCATGCATGCGCCAACCTATGCATGCTGTTATGGGTTATTGATCTCAGTCACTTCTTAAAACAATAAAGGGTCCTCCATAGGGGTTATTATCCCGTAATATTGCAAAATCTGAATTTTTATAGATAATTTTAACTTCATTTGATAGTAAAAAAGTAACATTAAAATAAAATGGTAATTGTCATTAATATGGGCAATGCAATTTTTCGTAAATATACGTGTGCGTGTTTAAATTTTTCCAAGAAAAAAAAATTCTGAATCTCTGCTGGTGCAAGACCACAATATTTAATTATTCTTAAATTTTATATTATTTTATTGTGACTTATAATTAAATTTTAAGAAATCCTAGGTTAAGTAGATGAATTAAGTGTAAATTCTGCTCTATGATTATTTTGTGATAATTTTGTAGATTTAAACACTTAATGGTTAATTTTATGAAATTTTCACAAATTTATTGATATATTCAGCTTGGAGGTAAATTTAGGTTACTTGTGTAAGACTAGAAAAATTGTCAATGAGTTGAATTTTAATTCAAATTTGATCAAAATTTAAGATTTGAATTTTATTAAAATAGTCGATAAATCAGATCCGATAATAATATATGTAATCTGAAGTAAATAGATTAAATATAAAATTAAATAATTCGATTTGTTAAGAGTTTGAATTTAAATTTAAATAATATTTTTTATTATATTAATAATTTTTTATATATAATATTAATAAATTTAAAATTGGAGGGACTAAATGAGAAAATTAAAAAATTAAAAGATTAATATAATTGATGAAATAGAGTCAGAGAATTTAAGTGTAAAAAAAGTATTATTTTTTTATTAAATTAATTTTTTTATCAAATTTTAAATTATTTATTGGATTCGAATATAACTTAATAAATATAAATTTCCTATAATTTGAAATCGGATTTGAATATGAAAATTTTAATCAAATTCAAAGGGTATAAGAGAAATTGGCTTGATGGCATATTTAGCCGGTGGAGAGATCTGACTTTGGAAAACCAAGCCTGTCAGCTTCAAAGCACTGATAAGAACTTTTGAGAAGCCGAATTGATGGCAATAAGTTTCATTTTAGAGTTTTCTCACACAAATTAAAATTTATAAACATTTAAAATATAAAAATTCATTCAAAACAAATAGTTTAAGCGCGTGATCTTTTTTCTATCATAAATTTTGACATGTTATATTTTTCAAAACCCTTAAAAAAAATACAAATTTCAACACATGACCAATCTAGAAGGCTTAGGTAGCCACTCAACTCCTAAATCCATGTGACTTGTGTTAGGGCTGGTATCTTCCAATGTTGCCCTTCTTCTTGATGTCCCTATCCGTTAAACTTCATCGCCAAGCTCCTACTCCCCTTCATCGCAGAAACTCTACTAGTCAGAGAGTTCCCCTTTCTAAAGGCCATGTTAACACTCGGTGGAATACCCTCAAATCTCCCCACTGCAGGGAGACGAATTACGGAGGTGCACGATAAGATGAAATTTTGTTAATAAAGGAAAATTAAAAATCCTCTAAGAGTGCGTTTATTAACCATTTCATGATCTGAATTCTGTCAATAGGTTGATGAATTCCTTGTTCCATTTTCACCACCTAGCTATTTTATTACTGTACTGCCCTATAATTTTTTAGTAAATGACAAATTTGTCTCACAGATATCACAAATTACAAGTGACTTCGTTACCCCTTTTACCCTTTAGTATTTTAATTTAAATAATTAACTATTTTTAAAATTAGAAAATTTTTGATTTTTTACTTTTTAATATATTCGATTGTGTGATCGGCCATGGGATTGAGAGGCTATTTCCATTGAGTAGAAACAATCGTGCTGGTGTTTGAACTACATTTAGATTGTTTATATTGAATAAATCTTCAGTTGATATAATTTTTATATGATTTGGCGAGTATTGGTAACCGGAGAAAATCAATAAGCAAAGTTGACAAGACTTAGATAAAACCATTTTAAATTAAAATATGTATGCAACTCTAGTGCATACAATCCACAAACTCCACTCAAGCATTATTACAAGCAAAATGAAACGGCCAAGAGGCTCAAATGACATCTACGCCTCTTCTTATTCTCCTACTAGTACTCAGTCTTGCAGCCGCGAACGCCTGGTTCCTCGCCATTAGTGAATCCTGCAACACAATATTAAACAACAAAAATTCAAAACGTAAAATTAAAGGGTAGTTTTCAAAATTCATCCTTTTTTTTTCTTTCTTTTATTTACTATTTAGGATTGCATGATGTAAGCAAAAGCTTTTCTATCCAGACAATTTTAAAATTTTTATATGGCTAAAAATGTACAAAAACTTTTTTAGTTTTCTTTCCAACAAAATAAATCCCGGTTCCGTAGAAGAATTTTTTTATCTTTTAAATAAATATTAATGGAAATTTTATAATGCTTGAATCTCCCACTCTCCAAGCTCCTCATTTCACTCCCGTTCAACCACTCTCGCTTTTAATTTTTAGAAATATAAATATTATCTATAAAACTTAGACAAGGTAAAAAGTTTTGTTTGCCATGTTTAAATCGAATTGATATATGCAAGCGAATGAATGTGTTTATTGATATATGTGGGGGCGAAGATGTATACTTGGAACAGTCGGTGGAGAGGCTGATCTTAAAGGGAACGCTAACGCCGCACTTGCCGGGGATGCCGGCGGCTTTGTTGATAGCGTTGCTAGACAGGGAGGCAGCGAGAGACTTCAAGCAGTTGCAGGCGTTTTGACGGTCGGCGGTGGTGTTAGCCATGCTGAGCAATGAGCTCACCCCGCTGCAGCATCCCGGCGGTACCGCCGTTGCCCCGGTTTTCACGTAGTCCAGGCATGGCACCAACTTCAGCGTTACTTCCGGGCACCCAATCGCCGCCTCTGCTGCCGGCGCCGCCACCACCATCATACACAGGACCAAACAAGCAATCTTCACAGCTGCCATGGAAGATGATTGAAGATGAGCCTCAGTATAGGGAGAGAAAGAGAGAGATTTTTCTTCTGTGCTTGCTTATCGAAAGCGGAGATGAAGGTGGGATTTATATAGAGACATGGGGATTAATTTTCAACTTATTTTTCAAGCCAATAATCTCCTTTTTTGCGTCAGAATATGTGCAAAAATTATTTTGTGACCCTTACTGCTGCACCGGTAGTAGTTTCATATTATTTTTCAAGAGGAAAAAACTTGGCTGCTTCCTGGTATTGTAGTTCTTCACGATGCCTCCCCTCTGATTATTACCACCTGTCCGCACAATACTCTCTCTCTTAGTTTCTTCTATTTTTAATTTTTGTAATCATTGCTTTTTTATAATTTACTGATTTTATTTTTACACGTTAATCTTTATAAATCATATGTTTTTTTATTTTTTCTTCATTCAAATAGAAGTTTCATATTTCAATAAATAATTTTAAAATTTTTATATATTTTATTTTTAACTTATGGGTCACATACCAATTACAGTAATAATTTGTTAATTTAGTATTAATTCATATCCTCAATATAAACTTTATTTTCAAAATAATTGTAATATCAAATTATTATTTTGAATGAAGAAAAAAATAAAGAAAATTTGATTCACAAAAAATTAATATGAAGAAATGAATTAATAAATTAATAAGAAAGAGATGAGCGTGAAGACCGGCGATACCAAAGGGAAAAGATGTTAAACAGGGACAGGTGTCTCTCAACCGCACGGGGCAGCAGCCAAGTTTTTCCAACTGTTGAATTGTTTGACATTAAGATTATATTAATATTTTGTATATAAATTTTTTAAAAAAACTTCTTAAGCTAACAAATTTAATATTTTTATTTTTATTTTTTAGAAATTTATTTAAATAACAACTTAAATTTTTATTATAAAAGTCAAACATTCAAATTGAATTGTAAGTTTTCTATGAGATTTCCAAACCCAAGACCAGACCAACTTTCTCGTTATTGGTAGTTAATATGCCAAAGCC